GTACCTCTTTATTTCTTTTCTCCTTGATTACTTAGAGTGTGCGAGACACTCTAAAGGGATTAATTAAGCTTGGGTTAGCTTGATTGAATGTATAGGTTCTAACTTAGCCTAAGAAAAGTTAGTTTTGGGTTTTGATTGATCTTGGGAAAAACTATTGTTAAAGGTTTTGGTTGAGCTTGTGAAAAGCAATTGTAAAAGCTTGGTAAAAGCTTGGGAATTTCATCATTTATAGTGATTAGGTTTGGAAAATTCTTGATTGAACAATCAAGGTAGTGGATGTAGGTCTTTGACCGAACCATTATAAATCTTTATAAATTGTCTTTCTTGTTTTGTTTTTCATTTCATTTTTTGTTAGATTATTCCTACATCTTGCATTAATTTCTCTTCATTGAGCTTTAACTTGCCCCTAATTAGAGGTCAAATTTAGTAAGAGCCAAAAAATGCTATTCACCCCCCTCTAACACATTTATTTGGGACCAATAGATCTAAAGCCAAAACTTTTCTTTAGCTGGAAGGTGACAAGTCTTCCTTGGAAAATGAGTTTGAAAACATTGTAATAAAGATAGCTTCATTGAGAAAGTGAGATGCTGAAGTGTGAGAAAAACTAGATGCCTTTGCCAATATTAAGGATAATAACTCTTCTTTATAAAATATGTAGTTGGTTAGACTTTTGCTTGTCTTTTTCTTTTTGAAAGCTCATTTGAGCTAGTTTTTTTATATTATTATATCGTATCTCTTTTCTTTTTACAATAATAATCATGTTATATGCATGTTACGTACTTATTCACATTTCACATTATTATATACGGTTAAAGAGGAACTTTCAACTTTACATGAAGGAGGTTAACTCAAACCTGACGTAAAGAAGATTAATTCAACCTTTTAAATAAGTAAGCGTAAGAGTTGCAACCAATTTGTAAGTAATAAGCCAGGGCTAATAAATGAGCAATAAAGCTTGTGGCCAATAATATAACACCATTACAGCCAAATTTTGAGTGATAAAGTTAACAAATGGAATATTAATGATGAATTATGGTCAAAGAGTAAGCGACATAGCTTGCGATCGATAGAAAAATATCATTGCAGTCAAAATATGAGCAATAAAGCTTATGACTAAAGTAACAATGACGAGCTATGGTCAAAGAATAAGTGAGAAAGCTTGGGATCAATAACATAACATAATTGTAGCCAAATTATAAGCGGTAAAGGTAGCAGTTGAATATGAATTTCTTTTCCTTTCAAATATCAAATTGCAATTCATAAAGTAATAAAGAGTCAAATTCTTAGAAGTATCACATATGAGTGGGAAGTGAGTTGTTCTGGACCTTATTGTCCTCAATTAGTAACTTTCCTACTAGCGTCTACTTATGGAGTATTCTACGTAAGTCTCTATATTCAAGAAGTGAATGACCAACTGTTTGGTGATAATCAAAATACCTCACATTGTACTTGTCTTTTGTTGTTGGTGATCGTGTAACACAAGCAATTGGATGTAATAAGATTTGTTTTTGAGTAGAAGGTAATAGAGAAGATGTATACGTAAAAAGTTATACGAGAACAAGTTAAGAGAAAAAGGTGTCTGTGAACAAGAATAAGAGAGAAAGGCATACGTGAATAAGTACACGAGAATAAAGTAAGAAAGAGAAAAACTTGTACTTCAGTAAAAGGTTAAGAGGAATACATCTTAACTATCTCCATAGCTGAGCCACCAACCCAAACTCTCGAAACATCCCAAGACGAAAATAACTCGTGAACTTATTTCAAGTTGCTTTCACTACCATTTATGTGAAGTGATTATTCTATGCAAAGTAGTTGTTCTACATGGAGTAGTGCTCCATTTATTTTAGTTGTTTTGCATAAAGTAATGTTTCACTTGTTTTAGTTGTTCTGTTTAAAATAGTACTTTACTTGTTTTAATTATTCTACATGAACTAGTATTTTATTTGTTCTAGTTGTTTTACGTGAAGTAGCGTTTCATTTGTTCTACTTGTTCTCATTATTCTTTATATAACATCATGTTAAGAAACGATTTTAAAGAAAATAGATAATAATCAAAATTTACTATCTACACATGTAAGCAATTAAATCTCATTGTTAAAACACAATTTTTTACGGAGCTTTTACAAAATTCAAGTAGCGTTGAGGCTGAAGGATTTTTTGGATTTATAGTGGATTAAGCGAGCAGCATATTGTTGAAGTCAAAAAGGTATCAAACTGCTTTGAACGGCTAAGGTTGTGGATTTCGTTTCAATTTAATCAACAACTTGGAGTTAATCACGTGTTCGAACAAAGTTTAAAGTGGAATTATTAATGCCATCTTTGGCGCTGCCCGAATTTGTTTACTTGGACAAGCATTTAAATGATCAGGTCCCTTGTATGTCCAGCCACGGGGTATTGATGGGAGGATTTACTGGTACATATCCATTGCACGGGATTTCCAGGATATTAAGTGGTTTCGGACTTTAATGTTTTTGGGATATCCTTGTCTGAATAGCTGCTGTTGGTTTAGTCCTGGCTACGGGTAGACATCGTTGAGGGCTGGACATCTCCAAATTCGGAAATTAGGAATTTAAGGGGTTATATTTGTTTTTTGTAATTTTTATTATTGTAAACAATAAAGTCTATAGTTATTTTAACCAAGGCAGTCAACAATATTAAATTCGTTTATGGTCAAACTTTTTCCATTATTAACGAAAACCTCAATTGGTAAAATTTCAAACATTAATTAATAATGAAAATTTCATTATTATCAATAAAAAATTTGATTTATGAAAAATGGATGATTATCGATAAAATTTTTCATTTTTGATCAAAGGCATTATGTACTTAATTAGAAATATTCAAAAGAAATTTTTTAAGGAAAAATTTGTAGTGTGCCTTAGCCCACATTAGAGGGTCCTCTACAATGCCATAACACTGTGATCAATGAAATAGAAACAGTTTCCTATCCTGTTATAAATAGACATCATGTTGATATATACAGTTTCGGAAAATTCCACCATGTCTTATATCTAGGTTTGAATCAGTGAAATAAATTTTAGAAATTTTCTCACGCTTACAAAGAAAAATGATATAGCAATTGATCGATCCTTTATGTATACATATCAAGTGCTAATATTTATTGACAAAAATACATGCATATACATACATACATACATATATATATATATATATATATATATATGTAATTTCTCTATTCTTGAGTTTCATTGATGCTTGCAAGACTAGGTTGCCACTGGTCAAACGCTGCATGTCTTTTTGGCGACCATTTTACATGTCTCCTTGTTCTCTTCCTGGTATGTCCCCTGGTCTCAGGAGGTACAAAGTTGCTAGGTGATCTCGTTTCCTCTCTAGAGTCATCACCATTAGCTTTGGTCTTGACACCTGTTATCAAGCATGTGAAGCAATTTTTATCAGAGAAACATGACCCATCCTTCACCATATCCTTGGAAACACCTTTTTCTGCTCTAGAATTTGTGCTATTTGCGTTGGCAGCTTCGTCATCCAAATGATTTATGCAGGAATATGGATTTTTCAAAGTATTCTTCTGCACAAAGAACCAACAAATACTGGAATTATCACAGTCAGGATCCGGTTCCTCACTTTTCTGGGATTTGCTTGGTGGCGTTAGGCTGTCTGGAGAAGGAGAATGCTTGTTGGAGAGTCGCTGAAGCTTCCGGATAGTGCTTAAAGGCACGACATAAAATTTATGGCCAGGCATCAGCACGGTCTCTGGTGCAACAATAGCCCATGGTTGCTGGAAAACATGTGAGTGAGCGACCACATATCTTGGGTTCCGGCCAATTATCTCTGCTGCAAGGACAGGCCTGTCATGGAGCTCAACGTGGCCCCCTGGATGAACAATCTTGACAAACATGTTCTTGGTGTTTTTGGTGCAAATCCAGTTTGAAAAAACCATGTTTCTGGAATAAGAGAATAGGAGAAGAGAAAGGTTGTAACTCTACTGGGGAAGTATTTTAAGCCATGGCTGTTTCTTGGGGGCGGCTGAGAATATCCATCAATTTAAACAGTTGTGAACTTGCTTGTCAGTATTGCATTCTTATATTCTCCTTCTTCTTCTTCTTCTTCCTCGCTTCTTATTTTACTTGCTTCATTGATAACATCGTTGGCAATGACGTTATATTCTAGCATATTGTAATTTTAGTTTGGCCAATTACGCATATTCTCTGTCATGTTTAACCAAGACAAGCATATCATGCCAATAGAGTCTAGTAATGGGTAGTTTCTACAACAGTAATCCCAAGATCAAATCGCATAATATGTCATATACTATTGAATTAAATATTTCAATCCAATTCCTTAAATATTTGAACAAGAAAATCAGTGCAAAAATAATTCTTTCTTTTCTCTTACTGATCATTAAGTCAACATCGACCATCGAAAACTTCAAAGAATTTTGGAATTGCTATGTTAAACAGTGTATATAGACTGTGATCTATACAGCTTGACCAATTATTAAGCCATATTTTTTTATTCATTTTCGTTTTGCAAAAGGGTGGAAAATACAAGGGACAAACTCTAGCGTCGGCCAAGCCCAATTGCGTTATTCTTTGCTGTTGTTTTCAGCTCCCCCTTCTTTGTAGCAAGGGACTGGAGTTGACCTTGTTGTGCTGCATTGCTTGTGAGATATGAAATGAACTCAAAATTAAATAATAAATAGAAGTAAAAACTACATGTAAGTGCATACGATCGTAACAAATAAGACAATAATAAGTTAAGTTTGTCAATTTCTCGAAGAGTTGGTGTATTAGTTGTTGCTAATTATTAAAATTAAAACAAGTTAATTTTATCTAAGTTTCAAATTTTGAAAAATGATGAAAAAAGTAATCTAATTAACTAATTTTAATCTAAGAAGTGCAAATAACAGATTGAGGTGGAAGTAATGGTCTAATAGTGTAGGATTATGGTATCCTTTAATATTTCACTTGAACTTGTGTTTGCTTAATTACTTAATCTTAATGGAAATTGATGCTAGACTAGAATCCTAAAGCATATGTAATTCTTCATCGAGATAAAACACAATTGCCTAACTTAATTAAATCGTTATATGTCTATAAGAAATAACTAAATCAAGTTCCTAAAGCCAAGGTTCTAAATATTGACTATACGTGGCAACTAGGCATATGTTTATTCTAATTGTACATCAAAACACTTAAATTCATTTCTAAGTGTAATGAACACACATTACCCAAACCAAGGTCCAATTAGACTAACTCTCTCAAGTATCATCTAAATACCTTAGCACATTTAAATGGTGATCAAGCAAATAAATAGGCAATAAAATCAAATTTGAGTAAATATCAATATTTTCATAGAAAATAAGTAATAAACCAACACAATATCCAAGCTACATACTTAGGTGGCGTTTGGTACTTTACAATGTAATGTGATTATAGGTAATGTGATTACAAGTAATGTAATTGCAAGCAATGTGATTGTAAGCAATGTGATTGTAAGAAAAATAACATTACAGTGTTTGGTATACAAGCAAAATAATGATTAAAATCCAAAGAAGATAACATTGCAACGTTTGGTTTATAAGTACTTTGCGAGGAATGTAATGTTAATTTTTAAAATTACCTTTATTTATTAAAATGTAAGTTCAATATACTTATATTTTTTATTATTAATTTTTAGATAATATCATCTCTTAAATATATTTTTAATGTCATGTATTTTATTTTCATTTATTATTATAATTTTATATATTTTATTTTTATTTCTTTAATATAATTTTTTATATGATATATTTTATTTTAATTTATTTTACCTATATTGTATAAATTTTGATTTCTTATATTTCATTTTATTTTAATTTTTGATTCTTATATTATATATTTTATTTTAATATTTTTTTATTTTAATTATAATAATATAAATTATTTTTAATGAGGTAATAAAGTTGAAGGGTTAAAATATCTTTAAGAACATTATAAAGTGCAATGTAATATGATTGCATTAGTTTTGGGCTGCAATCACATTACATCCCTTCGCTGCAATGTGATTGCATTACAATCTTATATTGCAGTGGTCTATTGCAAAACAAACACTGCAATGTAATTTAATTAGACACATTGCAGGGAATGTGCTCTCACTTCTCTCATACCAAACGTTTCCTAAATCCCACCATAACCCTAGATTAAGAGTTCTAGCTCAACATATTGAAAATACAGACACAAATCTCAGCAAAATGAAGTATTTCTACAAAAAGAGTTAGAGAGCGAAATCAAATCTAAAGGGAGAAATTTAGAGCAGCTTTTTGATCCTTCAATCTCTAGATTTCCTCTTTTTTTCCCCTCTTAGTGGTAGTCTCCTTTTGCCCAAATTAGTGTTTGAACCCTCTTACTTTCAACCCTAGCTTAGAAACCAGTGTAGAAATGCTCATTAAATGACATGTTCTCGCTGCGGTGAAAATGGATTCTCATTTCAACAAGAAACTCACTAACTTGGGTTGGTAAAACTCTCACTACAGCTAAATTGAATCTCATTGCAATGAGAAACTCTCTAATAGGCTAGAAATCCTCTTGTTTCTAACTACAGCAAGAAATTTGCTATCTTACACTATGCAATCTATTGCAATCTAGCTATTTCTAATGCTATTTTGAGCATGCTCAAATCAGAACTGGATAAAGTGATAAATATAAAAGTTGTAGCTCTTCTGCTTTGCTTTCCAATAGTCTAAGAATCACGTTGATTGGACTTCTGTAACTTGAGTTATGTTTGAAATACCATAGCATGTTTGGTGAAGTCTGCACCTAACCAGCTTATACAATTCCTTACCACTTGATCCATTCTCTTTTAAGGACCTTAAAAACATAGGAGCTAAATCAGTCATAGCTAAAAATAGGCATTTTTGCCATACGAATAAGCTAAAATAACTGGAAGTAAACTAGCTCAATCATAAGTTAACTAATTAGAAACAACAAAGAAAACTTCTTAAAACTTTACCTAAACTCAAAGACTAAATCATTTTATCACTCAAAATATGGCAAGATAACTTTACATAATAGAGCTATCACACCTTAAAACTTAATATTTTTCTAGTCCTTATGCAAAACTTAAAACAAAAGGAAAAAACATAAACGAAGAAAACATCTAACTAGAAGTAGTTTGCACCAAGTTAATGATCACCTTTAATTTCCTCATAAGTCATCTCATTTTCTTAAAGCAAAACATAAATATTATTGAACTTCACATTTCAGCTCAAATGCAAGCTCATTCTCGAATGGATTCCTCTGTGTGTGTGTGTGCAATCTTTTACAATGAACATCATGCAATTCGAATAAATTTATGCTCATGCAAAATTCAAGTTAGTCTAGAGTTTCATCTTTTTGCTTTTCATCTCTCTCTCCTTTAATATAGACTAACAATTAATTAAGAATCCTTAGGACTTTATTCGACTTGTAACATATGGTTGGGGTGAAGGTAGGACATGTGGTATTATGTGGCTTAAGTCACCCTAAGCATATAGTCAATCTAGGACCTATTTAAAGCTTTATTTTCCTTCACCAAGTATACTCTTTGTTCCTCCAATTTTTCTTTTGTTCAACACTTATTCTTTTTCTTCTTGTTCTTCCCCTTTTTTTCTTCTCTCAATTTTCACACCCCCAAATTTATTTATTTTATTAGGTAGTGAATCAAATAGAATCATGCTTTTGATCTTTTAGTCACTTTTCATCTTTACTACCTTTTTTTACTATTTAGCTCATTACACTTCCGAAATTGACTTATGCACTGAGGAGCAAGGGTTGCAAAAATTAGAACTTTTTATATAAGGGTCTAGGCTACTAATTAATTGTTTAAATAAAAAAAAGATTACATTAGGCTCAAAGAGGTATTCTAGGGATAAATATATATAGTAAGATGGCTCGAAAGGCTCAATCGGTATAAGGATGGACTATGTCATTACCTTAACTAAGCATTGTCTATAATTTTGCCTCGAGAAAAACTCAAACAAATTCTAAAACTCAAACATTATTCGAAAATTTTCATTCACATAAATATTCTCTAAAAATACACAATAATTCCATGCAAGAGATATAATACTCAAATTGTGGAAAATCTCATCCTATAATGATGCTTATCATGAGAGTTAAACATAATACTAAAATAATATTTACATCTACTAAGAGAATAAGATAACAAGATAATTATTTTATCATCATTGGATAGGTGAATCACATAATTTAGTGCAACTAACACTAGTTCAGATTCTTAAAATATGCAGAAAATTAAATGATGAACAACTTAACTAAACTTAAAGTCTAAAAATATAAAGAAAATAAAGCTTAAAAACTGAAAAGTCCCCCTAAACTGGAGTTGTGTTTCAATCCCTGTGATATCAATAATTTCATATTAATTCTAAAATTTCTACACTTATAAAAAGTTTAAATCTTCAAGATACTTTCTATTATGCATAATATTATTAATATTATAAACTAGTGAGGGATTGTTAGATAGTTTGTTATTTTTGAGGGTATCACATTGGAAGATAATCATTCAGATATGATTGTTCAAGATTAAATACAACTCTTTAAAAAAACAGAAATGTTTTTAACAAACGCAATTATTGAAAATTGTTTACCAGACACATCTATTAAAACTAAACTAGACACTCCTGTTGAAACACAATAAACACATCAACAGACACATGTTGAAATAACAATGGACACAACTTCTCAATATCTATAAAAGGAACATATTTCCGTTCAAAAACATTCTGCAATAAACTTGTTGTATTCTAAAATGTCTTTGTTTACAAATCCTTATAATAGATAACAACTCTTTAAAAACAGTGTTACAATATGCCTCAAACCTTTCTCCATTTTTTTTATACTATTTGTCCAATAGTTAAAACAAGCCTCTAGATGCTAAAACTTTGCTAGAAAGATTTATGGCTTTGACACGTCTATAGTAGAAAGCTAGGACGATAATCCTTGCAAATTGCATCAGCTTTGATTGATAGGGATAAGATTGATTCATCTGGATTACATCGAGAATTTCGTATTATAATCTCTCTTTCTTTATTTCCCTTGAGTACCATGATCACAATACGACAGATCATTGAGGATAACTTTTTTACTGAAGTGGCTGTATGAAAGGAGTTGTGTTAATATCTGTACTAGGAAGATGTTTCAAAGAGGCTTCATGTATCAATTTTTAAGTCACTTTACATTGTAACATACGGAAACCAATCAAATAAGCACCACCATGGCATACTTAAATTGCGTCAGGCCCCCGGAGGAAAAGTTCATGTGGAAAAGAATGCGCAGCAAGCAAGGAGGAGAGGCCGTCGCAACCTTGTAAGCGAAGATCAGATGCAAGTCAAAGTCAAGACATCGCAGTCACAATTTCTGATTCGTATAATCAGTGAAAGAGAGGGCAGATAGGAGTGACAGGCTATGTAACTCTTAGTGAACCTCCTAGTTCCGTAGGTACAAGAGGGATGAGAGAATGCAGGACATCAGTTATCAATGGCCTATAACTTGGTTCCGGTTGTATGCAGAGCACAGCAACAGCAGCAACCTATACAGCAAGCAATGCATTTTGAATATGTGACCAGAACAAGGGCATATGACGACACAAACAAAATAATTTTTACATCTACCTGATATAGATGCCTTAAATCCATTGTCTCTTTTATTACTGGATCCACTATGTTTGGAAGTTTTGATCTGTCAGTAAGCTGGGGCATGGCCTGTCAAAATTGCATACAAACTAAGCTCAAGAGACAATTCAACCATGAATGGATCCCCTTGAGATAAATAGAAGCGTTGAAAGAAATTACCCATGTGACAAGAGATTGGCACTGAGTTGGTGACATTTTCTCCAGTGGTTTCTTTCCGATTAGCAGCTCCAGAAGAACAACTCCAAAAGCATATACATCACTTTTATCAGTCAATTTACCTGAGAAAAGCATGCTGTCATTGCTCAAATCATAATTGAGACTAAATTTGGTATTAAAAAAGCTCGTAAGACAATTATAATTTGGTTGAGGCAGGGAGGGGCAACAATTATGTTTAAGAATTCAAAGATTCTTCCAGTAGGTAGGAAAAAATATGTCTCCATCTTCATAAGATCTGCATTTGATCAAGGACTTCACAAATCCCATTCAAAGTCACTTATACTACAACCATAATAATGCCAGTCTAGTTGACAAGCCACCAACATAAAAAAGAACTACAGGGTACAATGGTATGGACATTGGGGTCTTGAGGAAACTACAGTGAATAGAAAAACTATAACAAATTTTACCGAAAGATAAGTGTAACTGAATGAAAAATATTCAATAAGTTATAAAAGAAAATATACATCCTCATCTGAGTATATTGTTTTGTGAAGTGATGAATATCATCAGAAAATGCATCAGATCTCATTCAGACTTTCTTATGCATTAACCATATAGAACTTTGACTTACCCTCTAAGAGGTACTCAGGAGCTACATATCCCAATGTTCCTGACAACTTTACATTCTTGTTTTGGGCTCCAGTAGTCACAGCGAGACCAAAGTCTGACAACTGAATGAAGGAAAAGATTGTTAAGGAAACGTTGTAGTTAACATTTCACCAAGGTACATAAAGACATGAAAGTTCATTAGCCATATTGTCATAGTTAGTATTACCTTAGCATTGAAGTTGGAATCCAGAAGAATGTTAGAAGACTTTATGTCTCTATGGACAACAGGTGGACTGCAGTGCTCATGAAGATATTCTAATGCCCTATCAGAAAACAATGACAACATTTAGAATCATGTTAACAACAAATAAACAATAAAATGGAATAAGAGATTAGAACATAATTGGTATAGAATTCACCTTGCAACATCAATTGCAATTTTCATTCGTAGATGCCAGGTTAAAGCTGATCCTTGAGTAGGTCCTATAATGTCCAAAATGAAATCAGTGAATAGATTAAAAGATAAATTTTAGCATCTTCTGTTAAAATTTTGCATCAAGAAAAAGAGTTTATACCATGCAATTGACTCTCCAAAGAACCATTTTGCATCATTTCATATACAAGTAACCTCATTTCACCATGGATACAGTATCCCAATAGTGAAACTATATTCTGATGCTGGATTTTGACCAACCAGTCCACCTCATTCTGCACACACAACGAATATCGAACAAGGAAACTCAGGAAAGATATTAAATTTTCTAAATACTAGATATCCCCAGATCAATTTCAGTCAGGCACAAAATACTACCTCAAATTCTCTTTCAGCATCTTGTCCTCCACCATCTAATTTTTTCACAGCAGCTAGAAATTTCTCATCGAAACGAGCTTTGTAGACACGTCCACGGCCACCTTCACCCAAAACATTACTTTCATGGAAATTGTTTGTCGCAACTTCCAATAACTGATACTCAATAACAGCTACTGAACCCTTCTTGCCAGCCATCCATAAGGAATTAAACCGATCCACAATTGGACTCAATGAAAGTGCTTTTGTAGGTTCTTCAGATAGCATATTAGAAGCAAAAATAAAGAATAAAGTTAAATCATCAGACAAGAAGCATAACTAATCATACTTTTTTGCTCAAGAAGTAAACTTAGAAGCCAAAACAAGGGTGATGAGTAAGATAAAGAGATACCCAAGTGTTGTTTGCTTTTCCCACTGGAATTCTTCAGGTTTTTCTGTCTACAGATCCAGAAACATATCAAAAAGAGCAATATTCCACCAAGGAGAGTGGAGGCAACAATTAGAGCTACAAGAATTCTCTTGTTCAAATCCTGGTGGTGCACTATTCTAACCACAGCCGCTCCTGCTTTACCATTAACATGGTTAAAGTTATATACTGACTTAAAAAGCAATTACCATTGCTATGCCATTCAAAAAAAAAAAAAAGCAGTGCTATAGTTAAAAGGAGAAAACAAAAATCCAAGATTTATTCTGCAGTAGGAATTATATATAATAAAAAAAAAACTCACAGAAATAGAATAAAAATCTTGACTTGAAAACAAACTGCCATTTCGATTAACAAAGTACATGTCATTGTGATCTAAGAATCCAAGGCTGCTGTTAGAAAAGTACAGGTATAACATAGACTTTTTTTTTTTTTGCTCAGTGAAAGTGAAATTTCATTAGGCATCCAAAAGTGTAACATAGACATAACTCAAACATTTTATCTCATTGCTATAGCTCATTGAAGAAACAGAACAAATTGCAAGTTTCTAAGACAAATAAAATAAATGTAACCACTTTTATGGAGCTCGCAATTATCCCTAACAGTCCAACAACTGAAAATTGAGATGGTCATAATCCTAATCCAAACAGAGCACCAAAATGTGTCAGATGCTCCTAAACAAGCGAAAAACAAGACAGTGCAAGAGTAACGATCAAATCTAGACAATTTGAGCAACCAAAGCAAGAAAACAAAACAACCCCATTTACAAGAAATGAAGAACAGAACCAGTAACTCCAAAAAAAAAAATGTAGAGTTGAAATACCCGGAGAAACAGCTTCCATTTCTGAAGAAAATTGAGAAATGGGTTCCTGTTTAGAAAGAAGAACAGAGGCAGAAATGGAGGAAACAGTTGACTCTGGTCTGGCAAGAATTATAAGTGACAACAAAGAGAAGGTACATGCCCACATGGGTGGTAATAGGCAGAGAAGATTCATGTCTCCCGTAAGATAAAGAGAGAAAGAGAGTTTTTTTAAAGATGTAGGGACTACTAAGTGAAACTTCTTTTCCTGTTCAAAGATCTTGCTGTTTCACTTTGAATCTACCTATGATAAACTCATCTTTTGAAAATGTAAGCCGATGGAGACAAAAGTGCTATTGTTGCAAGGAAACCAAGAAATAAAAAAAGAAAAAGGAAAAGAGGGCTCTTTTATTTTATCGAATCTAATCTGTTTATCTTTGTGTGTGAGTGTGTGTGTAACTGTGTATGAGAGTGAGGGTGAGAGAGAGAGAGAGAGTTAATGGAAGGGGAGGAAATGGACATAGTGCATCATGTGTGGCAGTTATGAAAAGAGAAAGTTCATTAAGTTCTAAGGGCTTGCTTTGAGTTGGACAGTTGGGATGTGGATTGTGGTAGGAAGAAAGGACATTGGCGCCATGCCCATTTTTCAGCTACATTCCTGGAAACTCTTTTCATTATTTTTCCCTGTTAACTACTTCTAAAAGTGGGTCTCTATCTTCTCTAGCATTACATTGTTGGATTAACAAATTAGTACTCTCCCTTTGTCTCCTTCTGTTTGACCTGGTTGACCTATATTGGGTTTAAGATACTACTAGTAATTTTGATTCTATTTTTAATCCACACAAATACTAGCAGGTAGTTAGCAAAATGTAAAATTATTTTTAAGAAGTTGAATTGGAAAAGCTGAGCAACACATATATTCATTTAAATCAATAATAATCAAAGATAAATATACGGATAGACAATTAGATAGGTAGATGAATAGATTAATGGCTAAAGATTATGCTAGTTGTTGATCAACTTACTTTCAGTAATTCTTACCTAATATAACTTCTATTCTGCATTCACACCATTCCTTTCTCTTCACATATCAATCCTCTAACCTCATTTAAATACCTCAGAAAAAAAAAATTGTAACACCCTTCAAATTTTGGAAGAAAAATTATACTAAATCAAATGTTAATTGTTAGTAATTTGGTTTGGTTTACATATCTATGTACTGAGTATTGATTAGTAGAGAGTAAAAACTATAGCTATCACTCAACTGAACAATTTAAAATCATTTAGAGGTAATTGAATTGGGAATTCAATGTTTCATCAATTTTTTCAGGGGACCATATATATTTAAAGTTCAAATGGATAAAATGATTCCTGCTTTGCTCCTTTAATAATTTGTGGTTAGGGTGTGTTAGCCATAGTGTCATTCTGAAGGGGTTGATGGATCCATAGAGATGATTTTTCCATCTAGCAATATATTCCATCACTCATTCAAGTGGAGATAATTAATGAAGAGAGTTAAAACGGAGAAAATTGTCTTCTTGGTAGTTAAATTTAGCAAGAAGAAGTAATATTATTGTTAAATTTTACCAATGAGCAAATTGTATTTCCTCAATAACACTATTGTTTTTGTCTTTGCTTCACTTTTTTTACAATTTGGATGAAAGAGATAAATTAAATTTCAACTCTAATTTCCCTCAATGATTTAGTTTATATCATTTATTCTTTTCATTTAGGGTTTAGGTTTCATATGGTCAATTCTTTTATTACTTACTTGTGGTTTGTCTTTTGTTTGTTTTTTCTTTCAAAACCTTTTATTTGTTTTCTTGGCACTGTTTAGTGTTAATCCTATTAACCAGAGTTAGTTTGCCATATCAATAACCCATATCACATGCAGCACAATGCCACTGCCAGCATATAAACCTAGAAACAACTTGGAACCCAACAACCCAGAAAAGAAAAAAAAAAAAGGAACAAATCCAATCGAACATAACAAATCTCAATACATTTCCACCAAAGCAAAAGAGCTTGAAAAGAGAATTTATCCCTCTCTCCCTCCTACGGCGCTAGGCATGGTGCCATGGGAATTCCAAGGTTTTGATGACCACCATCTCCACCTGTCACATAAATGCATAATCACTTCTCTCATGTGTGATGAGCTTTTGACGAAATTAAGCCAAATTAGCACCGATTTCCCCATCTCAAGGTCATTGACTGTATCCATGTATAATATATATATGTTTGAACCACAAAGCATGACTCTTCGGCTGGGAATTTATTACCCCTTTCTAAAGTTTCTTTGTGGGAAAGCAATTACTGTTGGGAAAAAAAACTTTGGCCTGTGAAGCGGTGTTAATAAATACATATATTTCTATATAAGTCTGGTTGGCATTTAATCTTTCAGGTAATTAACAGATAGGAAGAGTTAAAGTAAAAATTAATGAGTAAAATCTAACATAGATTAACCAATTGAATCCATTAGTATTTATAATATTTAAAATTTAATTGAAATGGGTGCAATCGTACTAATACATTGAATTTCATCAAAACTTTCAATTAGTATTTATAATATCCAATATTTAATTGAAATGGGTGCAATCGTACTAGTATTAATTAATACATTAAATTTCATTAAAATTTCGTAATTAAATGTGTTTGGATGAGAAATATCAAAATGAGTGACTTTTAGAAAAATTCGGTGTTGTCTCTCTCTTTTTTTTAATTTACTTATAAATAAAAAAATTTCTCTAATAAATGTATTTTTTAAATTGAAAATTTTAAAAAAAATTTCTCGATTTTATAATATAATTATATCTTTTGGATCTAAGAAGTAATATGAAAACAAATATTATAGTCATCTCAAAGAGATTGCCTGTTGCAAGAATGACAGAAAAGCAAGAGCTCAAGATTACCCCTAAAAATAGATAAATGATGAAGATCAAGTCATTAATTGAGCCATGTGCTGTAGTCGCAGTGCAATGTTTATGCCATGTGAAACAATTTTCCATGTGTTGTAATAGGAAGAGGACAAACATTCCTTCCGATTTCAGGCAAAATGGTGCAGTTTCTACCACGGATTATAATTGAAGTTACATTACTTAAAAACAACTGTATTTCCAAGCAGGACGCAAGGTCTGCCTGCCTCTTGTGTAGTGCAACTTGTTAGGCAAAAAATAATTTTGCCAATCTCCGTGATTGGGATATCTTGTCTTTCTCTACTACTACTTATTTGACTTTCTATGCCTTTGATGTTGATGCATAATTGCCTTTGATTATAGCTTTAGTTCTGTTTTTGTAGTATTTGAGATTGAGATTGTATTAATTCATGAGAAGAGGAGGAACTTTTGGGATTTGGTCATGCAAAATTTCAGAACCGACAAACAGATTTGGTAGATGATTTTCAAACAAGCAAAGGGTCCAAACTATACCCATTCATATCTATACTGATGAAACTTGAGATTTAGATGTATTTACATTGATTAAATTTAATCAACTTGGGTATTATGAATGTAGAACAATGAACCCAATATTGCATTTCTGTCCAAAATCTTAAAAAATTATACAAATATATATATATATATATATATATATATATATATTGAAAAAACTTGGTTCCAATGTTTAAAAGTTCAAAGTTCAAACACTGCCACGAGGGAAATTTGTCCCCAAGGCATATTTGCTTTTGCAGGGAAGGCCAGGTTACGGCAACTGGCAACCACTACCCATATTTGCTTCTGAATTTTTTAAGGATGAAGAATTGACACTGAGACTTGGTCAAAAACTACGAGAGAAGAAAAGGGGTGAAGTGGGCTGCCTTGCTGGCCGGCCCAATCTTCGGTATTTCTCACACTCAATTTCATAAAGACTCAACCCTATACATGTCCAAAAGTTTTCAGGAAACCCTAGTCCAACAAATGAAAAGGAATTCCTGGAAAATAAAAATTCATTGAGGTGGCTTGTAGTCCCATTCATTTTTTTGTTAAGTTTGGAAGTAATTGTTGGTGTAAATAGAGTTTAGATAAAATTTAAAAAATTAATAAAATTGACTACAAGATGAACTTTTTAATAGATGCTATCTTTAAGACTTATTTCGCTCCTACCACTCAGTATACAAAGAAGAATAATGCAAATAGACTTTAGAATATGATGAAGTTAATATTTAATTTTGTCTTGCACTTTACAAGAGTAGACCGTTAGGTGGCGTTTGGTATTTTACAATACAATGTAATTACAGGTAATATGATTGCAAGTAATGTGATTGCAAGGAAAATAACATTACGGTGATTGGTATGCAAGCAAAATAATGATTAAAATGTAAGAAAAATAATATTGTAGCGTTTGGTTTACAAGTACTTTGCTGGAAATGTAATGTTAACTTTCAAAATTACTCCTAGTTATTAAAATACAAGTTTAATATATTTATATTTTTTATTATTAATTTTATATATAATATCATCTCTTAAATATATTTATAATGTCATATATTTTTATTTCATTTATTATTATAATCTTATATATTTTATTTTTATTTCTTTTAATATATTTTTTATAGTATATATTTTATTTTAATTTGTTTTACCTATATTATATAAATTTTAATTTTTCATATTTTATTTTATTTTAATTTTTTATTCTTATATTATATATTTTATTTTAATATTTTTTATTTTAATTATAACAGTATAAAAAATTTTTAATAAGGTAATAAAATTGAAGGGTAAAATTATCTTTAAGAACATTGCAGAATGCAATGTAATGTGATTGCATTGGTTTTGGACTGCAATCACATTACATCCCTTAATTGTAATGTGATTGCATTGCAATCTTACATTGCAGTGGTCTATTACAAAACAAACACTGTAATGTAATTTAATTGGACACATTACAGGGAATGTGCTCTCACTTCCCTGATACCAAACGTCACCTTAGATACATCCGAGAATTTGTTAAGTTGTTTTGTCTTAAAGCTTACTTCCTACAGTAAGTAGATTATAATGAATTTGGACGCTTTTGTAGTTGATGGGAACTTAAGTGTTTATGTTAATAGAACACAACACTTTTTTTACTCTTAATTTTTCTACTCTTATTTGGCTTTTGATTTGATATGTCAAAATGGTTAGCAAAAAACACTTTATAAAGGCTTGCAAGTATCTCTTCTTCAAGGACACCCTTTCATTAAGGCACTATTTTATCTAAAAGATATCTTTATATTTTACAAAACATAACCTTTAGATAAAAGTATTGTTTAAATAATCATTTTATGAAATGATAATTATTCATTCCATAAAACATTATCTTTGAGTTATAATTTGAAATAATAATTTTGCATATTTAACTTTTAAGTTATGATGTTTTTTAAATTTGTCTCATAACCTGTGGATGTCATTTTACCAAGAGACAACTATTCATATGAAAACCTACCTACAATCCAATAGTCACACTATGTCATTTTATGTGACATAAACATTGAGTTTAGATAGCTTTAGTTTTCATTATGTGAC